AGGGTTTAGGGTTTAGGCTTCATGCGCTCTTGTTCAGGAAGGCTCTTGCCTACTATCCCTGCTATGCCAACTCTAACCTACTAACTTCATGAAAACAAGCCCAGATGCCCTCGAACCTGACTCCGAACCTCGACCCCATCCTCAACCCCAACTCCGTCATATAGAAGCCCAAATAGTTACCTATACCATTTTTGGGGGATGCCTTCTTATGATATAGTACTATAAAAAGGGAGCCCAGGCCCCTATATTAATTCAAGGAGCCGCAGACGCCCGTGCCCGGCAAATGGCAAAAGCACACCTCCTAACAACGTCGCAGATCAAGGAGGATCTTTTCTATAGGTACTGTGGGTCAGACTTTTCAGCACACCGAAGCCAAGTCGGCCTGGAGAGCCTTTGAAGCTCGAAACTAGCTACAGCCACTCACTGAAGCCCCGAAACGCAAAGCCTCGAGCTTTCGAGGGCCAGTGGCTCCGTACACCCAGAATTCTGAACCCCACAACTCCTCACCCCCTGAACTTCGAAAAAAACCCAGAACTTCCGAAACTCTGACCGACCTATTATAAGCTTCCCTGTAACCTAGAATTTCCTGCTTTTTTCACAGCCATGGCCGAAGCTGTTGCTGCCGCCCTCGCAAACGCCCGACTCTCAACACGCTTCACGTTTCGATTAGGCTCAGTGGCTTCGAGTTTTCGTTAGGGTTTGGGGCATTGAGGTACCAGGGCTCCCTCAAGCACTTTTCCTGGATGGGCGTAGGGCTCAATGTAGAGTCCAGCTCCGATAGTCTTCTTATGAAGTGCCTCTTCTGGTTCGAGAGTATAAGGGGCTGAGATTGCTGCGGCCGCGATGTGCGCTCGGCAGCATGGTGTGGGTAGTCGGCTTCAGTTGCCTTCGACCTCGATATGGGGGTTTCCGAAAATAGGGGACCCTAATATAGCACCCTAAGGAGTGGATCCTTATTATAAGGACCCCAAAATACGGTGCCCCTTATTTTCGGAAGATCCCATATCCACTCCTCCCACATCTTGCGGATTAGGCCTCTGCCAAATCCAGGAGCTCAGAACCTTCTTTCGGGGTCCGAAGTCCGAAGTAGCGCCAGTGGTTCCTTTTTTTGCTGTGCTTTATCCAGTCTCGGAGGGACGTCATAAGAAGAAGCCACTGTACCGTGTGTCAGTAGCCACTACCGATGCTGATGTCTCGCGCTTGACCTGCACTCAATATAGTACAGTTACTATGGTTGCTCGCAATGCCGCTTGTCGACGGAGCAATGCAGCAGACTCCCGGTTTCATGGCCACACAGTTGTATCAGCCGCATTCTGGGATGATCGATGTCGGGCTCCCTTTCTCAAACTGGCACTGCATTTGCGCGTTCAGCTTTTCCCGGCCTTTCTTGCGGATTGCAGCATCCGGTTGTCTTACTGTAGGTGTGGGCTCCTGAGGATTAACCCAGACTCCAGATTGACTGTTTACGTGCCAAGAGAGGGTTTCAGGTCTGGGGATTCCAGCGATGGAGGTGCTGCTCCACCGAATTTACCAAGGGCTCGCTAGGTTGCTTGGGATTGATCTGTAATTAGTTGTAGGATGTGCGCCAGGAGGGTGAATATGCCGTGAGCCCGGGCTGGCACAAAGCTGCCGGATTGACAAGCATACCCTTGCAGCACATGATTCAACTGCAAAAATCTGCAGAGCAGTGCCATATGAAACCCTTGGATATCTAGAGGATCGCATCCGATCTGCGACCATGGTCTTGCAAAGCAGCTGGTAGGAGCTCAGGCGGTGCCATGGGAGCCGACAACTCACGTGCTCGTCCAATCGTTCATTGCGTTGAGAGTACGGACTTCCAACCTCCGGCAGATTTTGACTACCTCGACTTTGAGGTAACTCCTTTCGCGCACGGCAGTTGCCGCGAGACATATCGGGGGAAGATCTCCTCGAAAGAAACTGTGCAGGCCAACAGGAATATTCCTCTCGGCGGGGGAGAGTGGATATCTATAAATGTAGATGAAAAGCTAGTATATCCTTGTGTGGTGAAGATGTTCAAAAAGCAGCACGTGACCCAGGCTCAAACGTGGAATCAGGACTTGTCAGCTTTGATGCTCAGCCGCGAGTTGAGTGACAAGTTCAACAAGGTCTTCGTGTCTCAGATAGACAGAGCACACGAGATCAGTTTTGCAAGGGCCGTGCTGTTCCAGGTAAGCGATCGTGGCTCAACCCACCATTTCGGCAGACGAAGCGTGGGTCAAGGCTTCTTGGCCGGTCTGTCCACCCGTGCCATATTAGCTGTAGCTTTCCCACAGGCAGTGGTGCCATGTACCCTGCTCTCGGCATACGCATCTCTGGTGGGAAGTGCTGTCAGCATGGATGAGACACCAGCACGAGTGCAGCAGAAAGAAATCGTTTGTGTTGAACCCTATCTCGATGGCAGTTTTGTCAAAGTGAACAGCAACTCTGGACACTGGAAAGAAAGCAAGCATGCAGAAGTAGCCCAAGCTTTTTCTCATTGGACTTGGGCCGAGACTAAGGGTAAGAAGCTGGTCTGTGATCTGCAAGGTGTACAGCAGAAAGATGGCACTTGGCTCTTCACGGACCACACGATTCAAGGAGGCTCGGGCCCCACCGATCTGGGCTTTGCTGGAATGCATGCATTCTTCTACTTCCACAAGTGCAACGAGATGTGCAAAGGCCTGCCCAGGCCGGACATACCATCTTCTCCTCCTCCATTTATACCGTACCGGTCAGAGACCACATTCTCCTGGGAAGTTGTCGATGCGTCAATTTGTGCTCGTCAGCAAACCGGAGGTACCTGCTATGCCCATGCTTCCGCGACAGTCATTCGAGCGGCAGAGAGTCGCATTATTGGACGCTGCCCTGAAGATCACGACAGCATGGTTGAGCGTATCGTCGCCAAGTATGGCACGAACGGTGCATGGCCACAGGCTGTGTTGAATGATGAATGTCCGAAGCTGCGTCTTTCCCACAAGATCGTTGAACGGCCAGAGGCCGAAGCAGCGGTACAGCGAGGACACGCAATTCTGGCCGCCTTCTGGCTCACAGAGACGGGATGGAAGGCGTTCTCCAATTTTTTCAAGCAGAACCCAGGGAAGGTTCTGGAGCAATTGCCTTCGGAGGGAAAGCATGTTACCAGAGGCCATGCCGTGGTTATCGTCGGGCAGAAGCCGAACGTTTGGTTCCTGAAAAACTCATGGGGCCCCGAGTGGGCTGACAGCGGCTACTTCCGCATCCACAAGGACGTCTTCAAAGATATCCGGTATCACCACGTGTATTTCCTGGAGACAAATCTGACTGAAAATGACCGGCAGGCATACGAACAGGCTACTAGGTCTGGACTTTAGGGTTCATCTGGTCGAGCCCCGCCTTGCGACGCAGACGGGCTGGAGTCGAAAACGACCCAACTAAATTCGGCTTTGCACTTAGGAGTTGAGGTTTAAGACAACTTCTCTCACCAAGAAGCCAGACGGCGCTTCAAAGGAAGCCCTCGTCATCGCGTTTTCTCAAAATTCTGGACACGCCCTTTACCCCCGGTCGGCATCTTGAGAAGTTGTCTGCACTCGAACAACTCCTATTCTGGAACTCAAAGCTACGAAGAGAAGTCCAGGCACAGGCCGCCCAGAAGCAGCGGCAGCCGACTCTGCCGCCGGCGCCGCCCCCTTCGGCGCCTCCGCCCCCGCCGCCAAAGCCGCGGCTGGAGAGCGAGGCAAATTCAATTATCTCTATGCTCTCGGGTTCAGGTTGCGGGATTCGAAAGGGTTGTTTCAATCGATGGTTGAGAGTTATAGCAATCGATGCAGATTGAACTGTCAAGTTGTGGGTACGTTGCAGATTCGCTGTATATTTAAATGCTTGATGCGTGAGCCTTTCCGAGAGTAGTAACCTGGTTTGGGCTGCACACGCTTTGTGTCAAACCGCCCAACCCTGAGCAATAATGTAGAGGCCTTAATAATTTCGCCTATCCTATTTTTGGGGGCTCCATATATATTATACTTGCAGTATACTAGGCCCCCAACGCCCTCTTCTAATTATTAAGGCCCCTACATTAGTTCTGGACACTGAAACCTCTAGCCCTAAATCCTGAACCCTAAACCCTAAGCCCTAAATCTCTTCCTGGCGTCTCCATGCCCCCCAAGGGGGTCGGTCTGCGCATCTGTTGTCGGACCCAACGAGGGTAGAGTCACCCTGGGCCTGAAAGCTCTACTTAGTAGCAGCCATTGACCTTTTGGGGCTTACCTACCCAGGGGCTCCAATGTAGTTCCTTTTTGGGTCTGTTATAAACCCTAAAACCTAAACCCTAAACCCTAAACCCTAAACCCTAAACCCTAAACCCTAAACCCTAAACCCAAAAAGGAACCACATGGGAGCCCTTGGGTAGTCCTACTATAATCCTATACCAGAATCCTACCATAATCCTGCTATAATCCTATTATAATCCTATTCTAATCCTAGTGGAATTGCAAAGGTTACCTTTCTTTGGGCTAGGGTTCTCAGCCCCTACGTCAAAAAGCTCTGAAGCATTCTGAAATCCAGAGCCCCAGATCCGCAAAGAATCCTCATATACAGAGCTTGAGTAGAGAGCACTTTGAATGGAGACGGTTTAGGGGTTTAGGGTTTAGGGTTTAGGTCATAAAAAGGCCCCATTTTTCAAGATTTTCTCAAGCCTAAAACGGTCTATAGTTTCTGGGAAGTTCTATCTGTTGGCGTTTAGGACATGTTGGAGCAAGAGGATGAAAGGGGCATAGGCTTTGGGGCTCTGGAATTGAGGTTGCAGGGCTGTTGGATTTTGGTTTGGGGTTTTAGGGTTTCGGGCGTTCGGATATCTTTGGGTTCCAGGCCAGGGTTTGACCCACAAAAATTCGGGGGTTTTGGGTTGGTGTGCACTCGCAAGTTTACCCGTGCAGATATCTCACACCCTGGCTGGGCAACTGACGAGGTCGGGGCAGTATAAGTATATACCTCAATGGCAGGCGTTGAATCCTCCACCCCGGACATTTTTACTCCCTAAAATCCAGAAACCGAATGCTGCTAGATTGATCTCAACATTTACGCAGACTTCAAGGGCTGCGGCAAGCATAGGCGTAGGATAATCTCGTATACACAGTGTCAGCCTCGCATATCCCGGATCCCGATTCCTCCGAGCTCAGGTTGACATTCCCAACCTACCGAAACTCTAAACCCTAAACCCTAAACCTAAACCCTAAACCGAGTTTCAAGTTTACACCACATCAGTTTGACGGGTTCGATCTGAGCCCCATCCACAACGCTGATCCTGGCATTACAGCATGCTCCGAAGCCGAGGTCTATGCAGGAGTTTCGAGTATGAGGGTTGCGGGAGTTGAGCTGAAATCTGACAGCTTCATATCCCCCGGCCAGACAAAGAGCTCCCTAAACTTTTAAACCCTAAACCCGAGCAGGTGGGAGCTTCAGAACATCCGTAGCCCTCATTGTCGACCCTGAATCGTAAGATCCTTTTACCCTATGCTTCGAGGGACCTTATTATTGGATCCTGAAGGGGTCTAGGGCCCTAACTATAAGGTCCTTGGAAGCATAGGGTTACGTAAAGCCCCCAACTCCGTATGGTTTAGGGTTTGGGGATGGTTGGGGTTTAGGGTTTAGGGTTTAGGGTTTAGGCCCACCTTCAAGCAGCACCCGTGAGCGGTCCTGGGGCAGGTGGAAGTGATCCTCAGTGATGAAGACAGGCGGCCACCTTGCTTGTGAGGGGTCTTGGGCCTGGGGAGTAGGCACCCTAGGAGGTGGTCTTGCTAATATAGGGGCCTAGATAATTACCTATACTATTTTAAGGGCTTCTTATTACAACTCTAGTATAATATACCTTGAAACCCTATTCTAAATATCAAGGCCCCTACACTACTCATCCAAAAGCAACGCCGAAGCCCTTGAACCTGAGTCTGCTTCTTCAGCCATTTCAGGCTCTGGGATTGATATAGGGCCCTTAATAAATTAGAATAGGGTTTTGGGGCACCTTATACTATACTTATAATCAGGAACCGCCAAAATAGTATAGGTAATTACTTAGGCCCCTATATTGCCTTTGGTGGCGCAAGGTTTTGGTTTCTGCTTGAACGCACTGGGTTGAGCGTTCTGCATGTCAGATGAGAATCATAGGGCAGCCGTGCTGCTTCCATGGGATTTGAACCAAGGCTTTAACGCCCCGATCGCCTCAACGTCCAACAGCAATTAAGCCGTAAGCCGCCAGTTGGCAGCCCTGCAGCCCTAAGCTCCTGAGGTGATGCTTTGCAGAGCCCAGGACCTTCATACCGAACCCAGCCTTTACCTTAGGGTTTAGGGTTTCTGAACCCTAAGCCAAACAAGCAAACGCAAGTTTACTCCGACGAGGCTAGTTCTCTTTATTGGGGTCCCAAGGGTGGCCGTATTATTTTGGGAACCCTACAAGGGGACCCTAAACCCTAAGCCCTAA